ATTATCAATTATGACTATCAATAGATATACTTTTTGTATTGTCAGTTAGTGTATTTATAAACTCACAACAATGTACCTTACTACCATTGGTAATAACAATGCTATGTATCTGCTAATATCGATGTCATAAAAAACCAATTACCTACCTGTATTTGTAATCCCTTGTGTATTATACCTGTACATTAACTCAAAAATTTGAAACTTTAAATGTTTATATCTAATAAACAAATAAAGTTATATTAAAAATTCAAATGTCATTTACTATTAAATTAAAAACTCAAACATTTTATTAAATTCTAAATATGTGTTCCCATTTAAAAAAAAAATAAAGTTAACACCCTTACCAGGCATAAGGGATGAATTTAAAAAGAATTACATAGTTAATAATTCAAGAATAATGTGTAACTAAAGATAATGAAAAAAAAAATGTTTAAATTATTATTATTCTGCAATTAATTGAGTAGGTTATGATAAAAAAATCACTCTGTATAGAGTGGGTATGGATACACTAGTACGAGATCCACCTATGTTACATAGCTATACTATGTATATAAATGATTGTAATTCAATAAGTATTTATCCTAAAGTTATTATAGACCCATCAAATTCGTTGTAGGAAAATATGTAAAAAATTGTTATTTTACAATTTCAAAAAATATATATTTTTATAATTTTTTTATTAGAGACAAATGATAAAAAAATATCAAAATTATTTAATACAAAAGTAATACAAAATATTTGTTGAATCAAAGTTATTAAAGATATCAAAACCGGGTAGGACCCTCTGTATTCACAATAATCAGATATAGACATTTAAATAGATTTTTACTTGTACACATTAAACAAAATATAACTACCACTTAAATTAGCAAACACGTAATTTTATCCATACCCTCGTCACCATTTGTTCGGTTAGAAATGCAGGATAAATAACACCATACAGGTTAGCGGTTACTGATGAACTAACTTTATTATCAATATGTACACATACAGATAACACATACACGTATAAATATATCTCATACATTACAATTGTTGTATCTTTAATAAGAAACCACCCTAATGGCTTAACTTAAAGTAATAAAAGTTCAATGATAACGCAAATGTAATTATTAAAGATATAATCAAACAATGCAAAAGATACACTTAAAACACAATAAAACAATACACAAAATGAAAACTTAATGTCATAAACGTACCATGCGAAAAGCAATTACCTACGGTACTCTCAAACACTTCTCCTCTCTTCAATTCATTCCATTTCGTCTTATATATTAAAATATTTTCTATTTCTTTTTTTTTACAAAATTCATAATACAATTATTTTCAAAAATGTTTATAAATATTTACTTCCTGGTCTAGTAACAATAACTCAGGAATTACAATTAATTCAAACATTACAAACATATTTTACTTCATGCTTTACTTATAAAAGACTATATTATAATTTGTAACAATAGATCAAGAAATTACAATTAAACCAAACATTAAAAAAATGTTATACTTTCAGTATGTTTTACAATTTAATGACCTATATTACACAATTTACAATAAAAATTATGCTTTTTTTTATTTATAATACTATCAATCAGGGTTGTTAACTTAAAAATTGTCTCCTTCTTCTTTGACTTAAAAATTCTTTCAGAATTTTTGGCACCGCCGTCACTGTTCTCCAATTTTCCCGATTCTAGATTTTATCTTTCCAATCCGTCACATTCAATATTTCTAAATCCTTTTTAACCCCATCTATCCATCTCTTTCTTAGTTTTCTTCTGGGTTCCCATTCAATTACTGTTCTTACATTTGCATTTTCAGTTTTTTGCATCGCATGTCCAAACCTCTGGAGTCTTTGGCTTTTAATGTAGCTTGTTAGTAATGGTACTTTAGTGGTTTCCCTTAGTTCTGCATTGTTCCTTCTTTGCTAACTATGAAGTTCGCTGATAAAAACTGGGCCACATATCCTTCTTAGTATTTTATTTTCAAACGCTAGTAGCTTCTTTTCTAATTAAATGGTTGTGGGTCATAATTCGCACTTATAAGTTACCGAGGACCCTATTATGGTCATGTATAATATAATCTTAGTCCCTCTAACATCATTGACTTGAAATATTTATGAAGTGCGAAATATATCCTTTTCGCTTTATGAATGTGACTCATAATTTCGAGACTCCAGACATTGTTGTTAGTAATAGTCGATCCTAGATACTTAAACTGTTTGACTTTTTTGAAAATATAATTCCTAATTTCTATATTTTGTTCCTCATTTGGTAATAATTCCATCACTTGTTTTTTCTTGATTTATTTTTAAGCCGCCCGATTCAACCTTCTCTATGAGTGCGCTTGTATTTTATACTACTGTTTCCTTGTTATCTCCTATCAGGTTAAGATCATCTGCAAAGTCCAGTACATCAATGCGTGTGGCACCAATACTAGTCCCTAAATTGTTATCTTGGACACTACGTATTACTTTTTCCAGTGCTTTATTAAACAACAGCGGTGATAACGCATCCCTTTGTTTCATATCAATTACGACTTCACATTCTTCAGATAGGGTTTGGTCAACTATAACCTGATACTTTGTACTACTCGTGAACATTTTTATAAGCGAAATAAGTTTTATTGGGAAACCAAATTCAAGCATGATATTGTAAAGGTTATCGGGGTGAATGCTATCATATGCTTTCTTAAAGCCGACAAAGACTGGTCATATATTTTGCTTGAGCTCGTATTTTTTTTCTATCATTTGTCCAATTATTGAAAGCTGATCAGTTGTCGATTTCCCCTGACGGAAATCGCCCTGATACTCTATTATGTAAGTATCTGTTATTGGTTCTAGGCGCCTAAGCAAGATTATTGAAAATACTTTATATGCAGTATTAAGTAAAGTTATTTCCCTGTAATTATTTCAATTGAGTTTATCAACTTTCTTATAAATAGGTATCACTATGGCTGTATTCCACTTTTGTGGCAATTCATCTTTTTCCCATATTCTTCTACAGATTTAATGGATTATTTTATGTACATCTTCGCCTCCATACTTTAATAGTTCTGCTAGAATCCCATTTTATCCTAGGAATTTCCAGTATTTTTAGCTATTGATAGCTCTTATGGTTTCTTCTACTGATATGTTATCTACTCTTTGTTTAATTGACTGACCAATCCATTCTGCTATTGTTGACTCGGGAAATTCTTTATTTAGTAACTCTTCAAAATACTTACGTCATCTGGTAGCCTTCTCACGAGGCTCTCGCAAGATTGTTTTATCTTCTTTATATCTTATGGCTCTCAAATGTGGGTTAAATGTCTTGTATTTCTTAATATTTGTGAAAAATTGTTTTATCTCCTCTTGTGAGTGATCTTGGTTAATGCTACATAGTAGATCATTCTTTCTTTTTGTATGATTCTTTTGCACTTCTTCATTCCAAACATTCCAAGTCGTTCTCTTTGTGTATGCGTTTTTCGTTATGGTTCGATAATCCAGGAGCTCCAGTAATTATCCGAGGCAGTTTTTTTGGTTTCTTAACATACGTTTTTTTTACAACGCATACACTCTAGTCAGTCAGGTAAACTCTGGATACAAACCAGACCTAACGCTAATCATTATGGAACCAGATGATATCCCTTTACCTGCAAGTAGGAAAGTTTTATGGTCGTTTCCAAAATGCCAGCATAGATTCTAATAATGAAGACATGCTTTGAGTTGAATTTCAAACCATCTAGACTGTTAGAGCGTTGAAAATCTTACGAACTGCGACTGCGGAGTGGTGGACCATGTCATTAAAGACTGTCCGGCTCAACGGCACCCAGAAGATATGGAAGACTTCTTCAATGCACAAAACCGGCTATACATTGCTTTAGTAAACTTGACGTTGAATTATAACCCAAAAGTTATTGACAAATAATATAGCATTTATATAGTTGTTTATTTTATTGTATTTTACTAATCTATAAATTTAATTATGTATCTATTTAAATTGTTTTAATCATTGATCGTGTAACATTTAAGATCTTGTATGTAATACGAAATAAATAAATTATAAAAAAAAACATGATTAAATTACATATTTATTTTTAGTTTGAAACGTTTTAATTACGTATTTTATTTACATTTATATTATTTAATTAAAATTACTAAAAATTTGAAAACATAACACAATTTTTCTCAAATAATCATTTAATTCCGTTTTATTTTAAAAATATCTACAATTAAATTTAGGAACTAAATAAATTAAGTACAGAAATATCTATAACTCTTTGAATCACGGTTGATAACATTTTTTTACGTGCACTGTTGCAAAACTAAATGAATCAAAAGAAAAGCAAGTTACCGTGATTATGGTTTATAATACAAAGGTTAATAACATTAGATGGATACAGTTATTACTACCGTTGAAAGATTAATATATAAAATTTAAAAGATTAAGAATAAAATAAAACCCAGTGAAGCAACGAATAATGGATATCAGTCTAGCAAGCAATATCACTATTTGAATACTAGATGATTAAAAATGATAGGATAATTATGATGGCAGTGGGCGCGTACTTTATATTAATTACTACTATTTGAGTTGTGTAGCTTAATTTGTTTTTTGGTTATTTTTTAGTTCTTAACTTATAAAAAATAATTGTGTTTTTGTATCTTTTAAGTTGTATAATATTAAATTAATTGATTTTATTTAATAAAAGTACAATATAATATAATCTTTTGATTTGAAAGTTAATCTTCTGTGCTTTTAAACGGACTTCCTTGTTACTGAAAAACAGCAATAAAGTTGTAGCGTAACGTTACGTTAAGTTTAGTTCAATAATTTCGATCACCCATATGATTTTGTTTATTTAGTTACAATCATCATTAAAGTCAAAATCAGTAAAAATAATAATAGTTATTTTAGGAAGTGACAATAGGTTTTAGACATAAAAACCTTGTGAACAACTTTATTATTATTTGTTTGTTTTATTAAACAAACTCAGATTTTTATATTTTCGATCAAAGTCTATTTAACTTAAAACTTCATTTAAGACTAATTTAATTTTAATAAAATTTAGGTGTACAATATACTAAATAGATCAATAATGTATTTTTATTTTTTACTTTATTTGTTCAGGATGGTTAATTTAGCAAATATTAACGTAAGTTGAGTTGTTTTTAATTGTTCACAATTAATTTTTATACAGGGAGATTCGTTATCGTATATTATCATTCAATTAATTAAAAAATACATATTAATTTTGTTAATTTTTTTTTTGGTTATTTTTAGTAATATCTATAGGTGATCAATTTATGAAAATCACACATTTTCTCATTTCTTGAAATGAATTGAATTAAATGAAAAAACTAAACTTAGTATTCTTTATTAGTTTTGGTAATCATAATGCCGGAGGCAACAATAATCAAAATATTTTGTAAATAAAAAAAATTATGTGAAACATGTAGATATGACAATTACTGTGTGCCAAACACCCAATTATTAATAGAAAATTGATTAAAAATCGCTAAACTTTAAAATGTATTGAAAAAAAAACGATTCTAGAATAAAAAAAAATTTCGGACTTTATTTTATCTCCACGGTGAAAACAGACATCAATATTAATAAAAAAAAAGATTATTAAATAAATTCACACGTTTGAACTATGGAATTATTTGTATGTTGTACATCGTATTTACTTTAAGTAAAGCGTGATATATACGTACATAATATTTATTAAAAAAATTGAATTTTTAAAATAATATAGTTAGAAATTTTTTGTTTTAAAACGAAGTATTATCTTTTTTATACAATTTATAAAGAATATAAGAGACTGAAATAACTTAAAAATTGAAATCTTATAGAGTATTCGTAAAATGTTATTATTTTAATTGAAGTCATTACGTATGGACAATTTATAATTAAAAAATTGAAACTAAATAAAAATAAAACAACTAATTTTTTATTTTGAGTTTTGTATGAATATAATATGGTCCTCCAAATAGATTCCCAGTGGGCCCTTTTAATTAGGGATTATTAAAATAAGTAAATTAGAATTTTTATAGGTAATTTTGATACTTTATGTTTGATTGCATATCCTACGCGTAAAATCTACACTCTTCTGCAACTTTTGGTCATATTCAGCGTTCAACACTATTAGGGACGGCGCTAGAGGTCTTGTGCAAAATAATTAAACGAGGTTCTGATATTTTTTTTGGTCGTTAACTGAGTTTACAGGGCCTTGTACGTTAGCATACGTCACGTACCTAAGAGTAATGCAATGCATTACTCCAATGCAAATTTGTTTTTATAAAATGTGTATAATTTTATAAATTATTGTAGCGGCTAATTCTTCGTCTGGGGATTAAGTATAATAGACCTATGTGTATTACATTTTAATCTAACTTTTTATCAAAATATTATAAAAATACAAATAATTATACATTACTTAATTATGCCAATAAACAGTTTTTAATAAAATTATATACATTTGAATACTTATAGACTGCAATAATTTTTAATTTTTAGTCACACGAAAATATTAACATTTTTTAAAAGGTTTGTTAATGTTAAATTAGCATATGTCCTATAATTCAAGTTAAAAAGATATCTTGCTGTTCTTAGAAATTAAATTATACATCTCCGAAAAATTTCCACTTCACTTTTTTTTTTTAGTTTTCAAACATAACAGAAAATGAGTGTATCGCAGCGGATTATTCAGACTTAGCGCTAATGTTCAGATGCGCTCTTTGCTATTTATTTCCGGGTGGGAACCTTATAGAAGCTATAACAGTAATGACACTTTGCCCTCTAACTAGCGACCTCAGCCATAATGAGGTTGCGTCAGGTTAACAATCTGTGTAAAAATACTTTCAAATCATAGGGTAGAGCAGATTCCAAATAGTTGGGATAGAGGCTCTTCACACCAAGCGCGAGATTTATACTGATAATATTTGGCTGTATGGGTGTGGTTAGGTGATGGTGTTCACGCCTCATCAGCTGTTAGGACATCTTATCTATAGCCGTTAAGTTGTAATTTTTTCGATTAAAAATGTTAAGAGGAAGATATAGCTTAAAAGCAACAAATTATTATTCATCATGGTTTAAATATTTAAAATATTGTTAATATTCAAGTGTTATATAAGTTTCAATTAAGTTTATCCAAGTATATTTATCAAGTAATAATTTTATAGATTTTACATCGGCTAATAATGATTTGGGAAAAGGTAATTGGTAAGAGAATAAGAAATGAGACATCGGTATCTAAAAAAAAGTTTGGATTTATGTCTGGTAAGTCAACGACGGAGCTATTATTTTATGTGAAATAACTTATAGAAAAGTATAGGGAAAAGATGAAAAAGCTGTGAATGGTATTTATAGATTTGGAGAAAGCATTTGATAGAGTACCGGGAGAGATTTTAATGTGGGCATTATTGAGAAAAGGAGTCCCGAAATGTACATTAATATAATAGAGGATAAGTATGATGGCACTTGTACTAGGGTAAAAAGTGTGTGTGAGTAACCAAATGTTTTAGGCTAAAAGTAGGAGTGCACCTTACTTATTTTCTACAGTGATGAATGAAATAACTAGAGAAGTACAAGGAGAAGTGCTGTGGAGCATGTTGTTCAATGACTGTATAGTGTTGATAGGAGAAAATAGGGAGGAAATAAATCAAAGGCTAGAGGTGTGAAGATCAGAAAAAAGAAAGGAAATATGAAGAAATAAAGTAGAGGAAAACCAAGAAAAAGATAAAGTTAAAGTATATTACATAAGCTTTAATTTAAGACATATATATATATATATATATATATATATAAATGTCAGACTTCCCGGAACACTTTCAAAAGTTAACTCGAAAAAGTTAACTTTTTGTAAAAAATTTATTATTTTGAATCTCCTGCTGTGGGCAGATAAACGGTCAGTTTTATAAACAAAATATACCAAATGATAAATGAAGACTCCATGCATCTATAAAAAAAAATTATGTGTCATTAAGATTTTTTTCAAAAAGTTATGGCAGTTATGAGTAAAAAAAATTGAAATATTTTCGAAAATTAGCGATTTAAATTTGTATTTTTTTTTTAGAGATTTCCTCTATTTATGGGTTTTTTTTATAAAAGACTGCAGGTAAAAGATAAACTGCGCAAACATTTTTGGTTAATTGGAAAACATTCTTAGTTATCATTATAAAACAAACGTCTGTTATATGTAGAGATCATAATACCCATCTGGAATTACGGAATTCAATAGTGGGGTCGTGCTAATAAGTCCAACATAGAGTTTATACAACGCTGCTAAAATATCGCACTTAGTATTACCGACGCGGTTTACCGACACGATAGAAATGATGTAAGTCATCGTGATATTATGCTGCTGACAGTAGCAGGCGAAGTTACAGTAGTATCCGATAATCCGGCATCCAACAGTCCGGAATGCCCGATAGTCCGGCATCGCTCCGGAAAATTGTAAGCATTATGGGTTTCTCCAAAAAAATGCCTTTAAAGCAAATAAAAACGATCAGAAGCTATTCGGAAATTTTCAGGGTGTTCGGGATCATCCGGACGAATTTACAATAGAGCAGAGAACTAATCACCAACAATACGTAGTAGTGGACATAGTAGTACTCGGACCAGTCTAATTTTGTCATATATGTATATATGATAAAATTAGACCGGTCCGAATACACTGAACGCGCGCTTAAAATTTGATAACAGGAAGTTGTATTACACGGCCGGCTAGTCTCAGTTATCACAACAAATACAGTTGCAGTGCAGTACAGTTAATCAATCACGAAGCGTCTTCGCTATTTTTTTGTGCATTGTTGTTTTGTGTCCTTTTACATTGTAGTAAACTGTGTCTCAGTACTAGCTACAGTGCTTCAGAAATTATTGATCTTCATAATTATTAGATATAAATTTTATACTAAACGCCAAAAATCAAGAAAACAAAAAGACATTCGTGACTTTTTTAAATCTAAATGAAATATGTATTACAGTACTTGCACATAAATTATATGAAGTGTAAAACAAACTTTTTTGAATTTGCATACTGTATTTTTAGTTTAACTATTAACCTAATTGTTCTTATAGCAAAGCCTACACTAAAAGGAAACGGCACCGCCCGATAGACCGGAATTTTCGATAGTCCGGCACGGAGCTGGTCCCGAACGTGCCGGATTATCGGAATTCTACTGTACTAGGTTTGCACGTAGGGACATAATAAGGTTGAAACACCATGAAAATCTAGCAGAAATTCAAATATTGGACAATTCCAATGATTAAGACATTTAAAAGGCACCAAAACATATAACTTGGTTTAAATTTAAAAATGTACATTTTGTAACATAAATATTATTTTATTATTACTAGATTAAGTTAGAGACCACTTAACTTTTGTATCCCCATAGGAATAAAAAAGAACATTATTTAACTAAATAAAATTGTAGTTTTTTGAAACTGTATACGGAGTGATGGCTTAACTGGTTCAATATTTTTGAAAATATAAAAATAATATTATTTTTTTTTTCGATATTTAATAGTATTCTATATTTTATTATTTTCAAAAAAAAATTTTCCTAACCTTTTGTTTCTTTTCCTATTACAATTATATCAACTTTAGTTTCTATAATGCAAACATATATGTATACCAAACTTAAAATATAGAAAATGATCTTTTAAAGAATATGACTTTTCAATTAGTAATTTAAAAAATATTATCTTTTTTTATCAAGGCAGCAGTATTGTTATTCATTAATGGCTAGAAAATAAAATAAACAGACCCAACATAATTTTTTTGAAACTTTTAATGATAAATTAAATGCCAATTTTTAATGAAAAAACGTAAGAAGCTATTAAATCGCGAAAAGAAAAAATAATTCTATATTTTTAAAAATATTATGTTAGTCATAGTTAAACAATCACTATATATTTCTTAATTAATCAATTATTATCATATCAAAACTCACAAATAATATTAGCCTCGGAAATCAAATTAATAAAGTCTATTCGCAGTCCTTTTATTAGTCCTTTAAAGTGATGCAATAACTTAAACTATATAGATATTTTTTGATAATGAGAAATTTAAATAAAATGTTCTGTAGGAGTGTTTCGAGTAATAATCGGGTACCCACATCCATTTTAGGACTCGAGCTTTATCCGTTTTCGGTTTGTAAACATTTTTTATTCATTCGGTAATCAATTCATATATAAATTAATTGCTCTGAACATGCCTAATATTCATTGCTAAAAAGTGATGTCACAATATATATATGTCTTACATAAAAAAATTATTTATATATTCTTTAGAATGAGCACATAGATGGGATACTGGAAGAGTTTGAAGTTAACATTTTGCAATTTTTAGATGAAGACAGTTTTATTTCTCCTACTATTTTTATAGAAGCATTACATAGACACGGTTATAACATTAATAGATTTCAAGCGCTATTTGATCCCATAAGTATTGGTAATAAAAAGATATATACTTTACTTTAAAAACATAAGTAACATAACTTAAATATTGTTAATTATAATTTACACATGTTAATTTACAAAAAAAACATTGAAATTTTGATATACATAGCTGGTTATATATTTCTTCAAACTGAAATTATACAAATAAAAACAAAAATAATTGAAAAATTATGATTTTAAATTTACATTAAACTCATCTCTATAAAAGTATTTTTTTTGGTATTATTAATATTATGTTTTTTTATAATGTAAGTTATATTATAATTATATATATAATATACACTATAATATAATAAAAAGAGTGATTTTTTTATCATAACTCGCTCAATTACTCAAAAAATAAAATAATTTAAACATTTTATTTTACTTTAAATAATTATTATTTTTGAATTATTAGTGACGTAATACTTTTTAAGTTCATTCCTTTTGCCTTGTAAGGGTTTAAAATTTGTTTTTTCAAATAGGAATACATATTTTGAGTTAATTAAAATGTTTGAGGTTTTATTTTAATAATAAATTACATTTGAATTTTTAATATTATTTGTTTAATAAATGATGAAGTCCATTCATTTTACTTTAATGTATATTATACATGTTTAATATTTGTATTAAACAAATAACTATGCAAAGAAAAATATCAATAGACAATATAAATATTATCAATTTTTTTTACAGATGTGGACGCGAAGTTTCTAATTGATGATCTCTTACATTTAGCTGATTTTTTACAACAAAATCAAGAAGTAATACTCGAACAAATGTTTGCGAATCAAGACGTAAACAGTTCTAATATAATTGATAAAGTTGTTGCAGAACTCTTAGTAAGGGAAAATCAAGATATCGAAAATTCAGTATTCGGAATTTTAATGATGTCATTTGGTGTCAAGGAAGATACTACCTCATTTAATTATAGAAGTAACAAAAATATATTTTTATATTAATTGCAGTGAATACCTAATAATTTTTTAGCTGGATACGAAGCTGAGAAGGTATTAATTTTACAATAATGTGTTCTTTTTTTTTTGTTTTTCTTAATTTTTCTCAGCTCTCACCAGATAGATTTCTTTCAACGATATGTATAAAGATCACAAATCATAGTTGAAGACATTGCTATTAATAATTGAAATATTTCTCTTGTTCACTGTAAATGGGGTAATACTCTAAGAAAATTACAATTTTTTAAATTTGTATATTTCGACTATTTTAAACTTTTTTTTTCTTATAACTACCATAAAATTTCTAAAAATAAACAAAACAATATAATTCTTATTAAAGAATCCTTATGGAATTCTCCTTTATTTGATATAATGCATTTGAAAATCTGACCCTTAACTACCCACAGAGGTGGATTCAAAATAGCAACTTTTTCACAAAGGTCAATGTCTTCAACTTAACTTTTGAAAATGTTCCGGAAATACTGCGTCCTTTAAACTTATGTTAAATTAAAGCTTAAGTTACGTAATATAAATTTAAAAAAAATTGTCCCGACGATCTATTTTCTCTATGCAAATGGCTACCGTAGTTAAAAAACATGCTATTTTTGTGTTCAAATTTTTTTTTTTTGTTTATTTTAAAATACAATAAAGGGTTTGCCATACTAATGAGTTCGCCAATAAATATAAAATTTACATGAATCTAACTTATATTAAATATAAATTTATCCTTATTTTAATTATTTTGCCTCTTCACTAATCCACTAATTTCAAAATTCAATACTATCTACAGATTTGCATCAAAGCGTTTCTTATGATAATAATTTTTATCACTGTCATATTTCATCTATACATGTCCCACTATGCCACGTCACCACTGTGTTACAAATTTTTATGATTTATTTTGTTAAGTTACTCTAAAATCATTATCATCCAGTACAAATTTGTAAAAAACCTAGCAATGTGACTTAACTGTGATTATAGTATTATGAGGATTTATGGGGCTTATTTATAATTATTTAAGGGGACAAAATGAGAAATATTTTCAGGATATTGTATATTCCAAAAACAAATTTGCACAATCTTGAGTGTTGTGAAAATGGCTGAAACAAAAATTTATAAATGCATATAACTCCTGTCTCTAGCTGCGATACACACATCTTTGCATTAAATAAATTAAGAATAAACTTATAGAAACTTTATTATTTTTATTATTAACGTTTTTGCTAAGGTAAAAAATAATAAGTCAAAGGTAGAAATAATCTATATAGACTTGATATAGTTAACATATTTTTATAAATAATGTTTGGAAATGTTGTATTATTATAAGAACTTATATATGTGTATATTATCTGAATAAAACACATAATCTTAAGTTTAATTATTAGTGTTCAAGATGTTAGGTAAGGTATTTAAGAATTAATTTTTGAAGATATTTTTCATTATGATCCAGTACATTTATAATGTATTATAACTTACGTTTATATAACTTATGGTTTTTATGTAATTTTTTGTTTCAGATTTTATTACATATATAACTGACCCACAAAATTCGCAACATTTACGAGTGCAAGTAGTTTAGAAGTCTTCGTTGTTTTATCATTATTTTACTAAAATAATTTGGTAAAAATTGCCGAAATAGATTTTAAAAACTGAATATTAAACTAATAAATCATAAATTACAGAAGTCGTAAAAATTTTTTTTATTATTTTTTTTTTTTTAATAATTTAAAGAGATTAGTGAAAGAAACTACTAGTAAGTATAGTATAGTGATTAAAATCACTATCATAAGGAATGCTTCGATGAAAATCTGTAGATAGTGTTTAAATTTAAGAAATCGGTGCTACCTGCTCTTCCCGGCAGGTCTATTCCCGAGCTATCTGCCTTTTAAAATTTTAGGAGAATTTATAAAATGGTATTGTTAATATAAATACGCAGTCAGGAAATATTATAATTACTATTTTCAGTAAATTCATGATAAAAGCTCAAAGATTTGTTAAAGACACATTTTTTTTCAGTGGCGGCTCGTGGCTTGGACGACGGGACGATCAACTAAAATTAATTAAAAAGAGAATTAATTTTATTGGCCCACTATGTCTCACGTAATATCTTTAAAAGTACAAGTGTTATAAACAAAATTTTTTTTTAATCATTATGGATCTTTGATGAGTTGTTTCACAAGTTAATTTAAATTTATATCATCATTTCTTATACATAGAAATCAACTTCGGATTTTCAAATGGCAACCCCATATTATTTTTATATATTTTTGTTTCTCATAAAAAAATAAATATTTAGTAAATTGAAAAATAATGAATTTTAAATAAGATACGCTACTTTAAAATTTACGATATTTGATGAAAAAATTCAGTAGTTTTTCCATCACGATCATAATATTATTTTAAGTAGCGATAAGAGCTACCAGTTTAGTGCGTCAACGCACGTAGTCACAATAGCGCTTATTAATTTACGACCTATAATATTCGTGTCTGTTAAAATTTTTTCTTAATAAATCCTAAACAATAAAGAGCTGTGGAGCACTTCATATTAAATAAAATAAAATATTTCTTTTACAAAATATTTTAGCTTCGATGCGAAGCTGAGAAGGTATTAATTTTACCATGATGTGTTTTTTTTTTTTTTTTATGTCTGTTTTTTCTCAGCTCTCACTAGACCGATTTCTTTCAACAATACGTCAAAAGATCACAAATCATATCTAGTTGAAGACATTACCCTTAAAAATTGATAAATTTTCCCTCGTTCCCCGCAAATGGGGTAAATATCCAAAAAAATTACAAATTTAAAAATCGGTATATTTTGTCATTTTTTTCACTTTTTTTCTTAAAACTGCCATAATTTTTTCAAATATTAACAAATCAAAATAATATTATTTTATATTGAAACCTTAGGTAATTTCTTTTCGTTTGATATCATTTTTTTTGAAAATCTAACACTTATTCTGCTCACAAAGGGGATTTAAAATAGCAACTTTTTTACAAAAACTAACTTTTTCAACTTAATTTTTGAAAATGTTCCGGAAATACTGCGTCCTTTAAACATATATCAAATTAAAGCTTATTTTATGTACTATAAAATGAAAGAAAAAATTTGTCCCGACGACCTATCTTCTATGCGAAAATGGTTACCGTATTCAAAAATATGCTATTTTTCTATTAAAATTCTAGGTTTTGTATTTTATTTTATTTTAAAATATCTTATTAGGAGAATACATGGTGAAAATAGCTACCGTATTTAAAAATATGCTATTATTATGTTAAAATTCTTGGTTTTGTATTTGATTTTATTATAAGAGGATTACACTGATTTTCATAAATATTATATCAATTTAAATGACAGTATAAAAAATTAATCATATTTAAATTTCTTTGTTTCTTTGAAGTCGAGAAAAATAATTTTAAAATTTGAATTAAAAATTACTTATGTAGCCTAACATCTAAGGATGGTAGCCTGTGGAGAGCTACCAAACAAGCTCTTAGATATAAAACAACTAATCTCCCAATTAAAAAAAATAACGGAAGTCTAGCTATCTCTGACTTGGAAAAGGCAGAGTTATTCAAAGAACATCTAGCTGACACTTTCAAACCTCATCCGAATATACATTCACCTGAAATGACTAGTTCTGTAATGACATACCTTGATGCACCTTTACCACTCTATCTTCCAGTTAAATGTTTTACTCCAAATGACGTAAAATTCACTATTGCTAGATACCCTTCCAACAAATCCCCTGGTTTTGACCTTATAACAGCTGAAGTTGCAAAATGCCTTCCAAAAAAAGCTATTATACATTTAACCCATATATTTAATGCAATCATTAGACTCTCTTATTTCCCTCTATTATGGAAATTTTCAACTATCATATTAGTTCCTAAACCTAATAAACCCCCTGACCTACCAACATCATTTAGACCAATAAGTCTGTTACCGTTCTTTGCAAAAATTTTTGAAAAATTATTACTTAAAAGAATACTTTGCTGTCTCACTGTCAATAATATACTGCCTAATTCCCAATTTGGTTTTAGGGCTTCTCACTCCACTATACATCAAATCCATAGAGTAGTAGATGTTATATCGTATTCGCTTGAAAAAAAATTATATTGCACAAGTGCGTTTCTTGACATCTCACAGGCCTTTGATAGGGTATGGCATGACGGCCTCTTATATAAATTAAAAAAATGTTTGCATCCCTCTTACTACCTGTTTTTTAAATCCTATTTAACTGATCGTTTTTTCCAAATTCGTCTTGGTTCTTCAGTATCTGACATAGCCTCTATAAATGCGGGAGTCCCACAAGGAGGTATCCTATCCCCAATCCTTTTTAATATCTATACCTCAGACCAACCCACAACTCCTAACACCATTGTTGCAGATTATGCTGATGACAAAGCTATCTTATCCTATAACTCTGACCCACAGATTGCATCCGTCAATTTGCAAAATCACCTACACCTAATGGAAGAATGGTACACTAAATGGCGATTTAAAATTAATCAATCAAAATCAGTTCATACTACCTTTACTTTAAGACTTCTCCCTTGTCCTGGTGTCTCCCTATATGGAGTACAAATCCCCTCCTATTCTTCTGTCAAGTATCTCGGACTTACACTAGATAGTCGGCTCACGTGGGCTCAGCACATTAAAAATAAACGCTCGTTGTTAAATAGCCGTCTGCGGTTACTCAAATCATTAATCACAAACAATAAATTTTCAAACTTTAATGTTAAACTTTTAATTTATAAATCCCTTTTAAAACCCATATGGACTTACGGCCTTCAGTTATGGGGAAATGCTAAAAAATCCAATACCAATAAAATTCAATGCTTTCAGAATATTGTCTTAAGAAAACTAATCAATGCACCTCCTTATATCTCTAATTATACACTTCATAACGATCTCAACTTAAAAACAGTTCATGAAGAAGCCATTTCCTACTATAAAAGATTCCACAGTAAATTACTCTCCCACTCAAATCCCCTAATAAAAAACCTCTCAACCTTGTCCATACCTGGAGACCCACCCAGACGTTTAAAACGTAAGTGGTGCCGTGATCTTCTTTCTACCAATATCAATTAATAATAATATAATTAAGTCATTGGAAATATAAAATAAAAATTCTAAGAAAATAAAAAATTAAAAAAATCANAAAAAAAAAAAAATTTGAATTAGCTAAATTTCCATTTTTATTAAGTGACGAATGAGACGTACGGTTTTTGAGACGGTAACACTTGGGTCTTTCATGACTGTGGCACTGAATTTTTTTTAAATTCTTTTTGAGTTAAAAAAAAAATATTTAAATCATTTGATTTTTATCTCATTTAGATTCAATAACTTCAATAAATATAAAGGATTCCATTACTGTAGTCTTCTCTCGTGAGAAGAAATTCATATTAATATTATTTTACTATGTGGTTTTTTTTTGTAGCTATCATTTATTTTCTCAGCTCTCACTTGACCTACTTTTTTGACAAATTTTTTTTTTAATTAAACACTATCTACAGATTTGCATCGAAGCGTTTTTTATGATAGTGATTTTAATCACTGTCAGATATCATCTATACTGGATCCAACTATGCCACGACCCCACTGTGCCGCCACCCCACTGTGCTTACTTTTTTTTTTTTATTTAACTTAATCTAATGGTATAAAAATAAATATGGTTGCTATTTGAAAATATGAAGTTGATACAAGTTTTAAGCATAAGGGATGGTGTTAGAAATTTTAATTTTCTTATGAAACTTCTCATCAAAGATCTATAATGATTAAAAAAAAAATTGTTAATAACACTTGTATTTTTTAAGATATTACGTGAGATATAATTAGCCAATCGTTCTGTATTTTTAATTTTACATTTTTATCAAAAATGAAAATGTTTTAAATGGTAAAATAGTTATAATATATATGTCATGTGCGAATATTAAAGTGTTTGTCCTAGAGCCTAGCCGGACTCTTCGCTGCCACACTCTTCATAGTAATAATAGCATCTCTAATAGAGATTCTCTATGCTCTATACTATTTTCATGGTAACTAAAACGGTCAACAACATTTCTCAATTCATTAAATCCGTCAATTACAAGTTGTGTTTCTAAAGATGTTTGAAATACGAGGGTGAATCAAATATTAACGGGACTTTTCTTTTTAACGCTTCTGAGGTGAAGTGAGCAACGTGACATCGTGATATATGTTGAGTGGGAATGTGAAGTGGAGGGGAGTAAGTTGGTTTGACTCGTCCAAACAGATCGGCCGTCAGTAGCATCATGTCTGAGCAAGAAGTTCACACGTCTGTTGAGCAACGTATTTAAACCGTTTTGCAGTGTGTGAGAGACTCTGGCACGATATCAAACTGAGGGGGATGATTTTTTGAGACACATTGTCACCTGTGATGAGACGTGGGTGCACCATTATACCCCAGAGTCTAAGCAGGCAAGCATGGAGTGGCGAAAACCTGGAGAAGCAGCACCACGGAAAGCCAAGACTCGTCTTTCTGCCGGTAAAGTTCTTGCGACGATTTTTTGGGATTGCAGAGGCATACTGCTCATCGATTTTCTCCATGAACGGCGTACAATTAATGCTGCGTACTACTGCCAATTGCTCGATAAAGTGAAACTAGCCTATCGACAAAAAAGGCGAGACATGCCTATACGAAGTGCAATTTTGCTCCATGACAACGCTCGGCCCCACACAGCTGCATTAACCCGAGAAAAATTAGAAGAAATTCATTGGGCAACATTGGAACATCCGCCTTACAGTCCTGATCTGTCTCCGTGTGACTACCACATGTTTGGACCACTTAAAGAAGAACTGGGAGGTCACCGCTTTGACGACGACGAAGGTGTAGAAACGTTCGTGCGCAATTGGTTACAGACGCGACCAGTTTCATTCTTTGATGACGGAATCAAAAAGCTTCCAATTCGATGGGAAAAATGTGTAAATAGAAAAGGAGATTATATAGAAAAATAAAGTATGTTCATAATTTTTGTTACTGTACTTACAAAATTTCTAAAAATCAAGTCCCGTTAATATTTGATTCACCCTCGTATACGACATGGCCCACTAAAAGCATTAATATCGATAGTTTTATCGTCACTAATTCTTGTATAAAATGTAAAAGAAACTGTTTTGTTAAAAAAGTTAGTTAACTTCGTCATTTGATTTAAAACATTTTGTAGTTTTTCACTTTTAACCATTTTCTATTTGTACTCATGTTCACAAAATAAGAAGAATATTTAATAAAAAAATAAACGTATATTAATAACGCACTCTAAAAGAGCTATGCGAACACTAGTTGAAATATAACAATAACATCATCGGATATGATTTGTTTTTCAAAACAGATTTTAAGATAACATTAGTCAATTTTTTTCGATTTAAACAACTCTACATAGACAGCGACAAGAAAGGTACTATAAAGTAATAAACTAGTATTTAATCAATAACTTCTGCTATTGTTATCAGGAAATTGAAAATATATTTAACTTTGCTTATAGCTGTGTTGTACGGCATGTCGTACATGATGTAACAGTGGTTTCTGAGGTTTTCCTTGTACGGGAGAACCGACCAACCAGTCAGTGCGCATGCAGAAACGGGGTAGCTGTGCACCCATTGTTTACCGAAAACAATTGATGACGTCATTTGTTGGCACCTTAAAGGGCTTATACCCGCCTACATATACTACTCTTAGTAGTTAAGTTTATCATTGTTGCCTGCTTATTAACATCCAACAATTTTGTATAGGCATCCCCTCCTACATTTAGTCTTGTGTGTGAGTAACTACAAAGAAGTTCCGATTACAGTCCATTCATTCCTTTACTTGAGTGAATAGGTGCAGAGTTAAGCAACAACACATTTGTTACTCTCTGTCCCTTCAGTTGCAAAACACCAAAGTTTTTTTTTGAAAAAAATTAAATACAAATTAAAAGAAAACAAATGATAGTTAATTTTTATTATGTAGAAAAATATGTTTTGAGACACAAGACGAGGTGCAATATTTTTATTGAAATTATAACCAAGCAACTTTTCACAATTATATAAAGAATAAGTACATTGATATGGAAATTTACTATAAAGCTCATCATATAGGTTTATAGTTTTAATAAGTAACTAAAAAATGTTAAAAATTGTATTAGATAAAAGTAATCCAATACGATATGTTATGATTCATCGACAATTTAAATTGCTAAAATTGTTATCCTGATAATAATTAAAAATTATATTTAAATATTACTACATAAATTTTGTAATAAAAAATTTTTTTTTATTTAAAATAAAATTTTTAATTATTTCTAATTATTTTATTAAACCCTAAATAATCGAATTCACGTAAAATAGCAATATCACAAAATGTCCTAAATTGTTTCAATGCGTATTCATACACAAGTATTGGACTTTCTATAATGTTAGTATTCATTGACATAACTTCAGTTTTCCATGATTCTATTAATTGATCTTTTTCTAAAACTTCAATTGAGCAACGTAGATTGATAAAATTTTTTAGTTGATATATCCTTTGATTAAAATAACGCCGTGTTATACTAAAATCTCTAAAAAATTTATTAACATTTATCTCTATTTCATCTAAAGATAGATTTACAAATCTATCTCTTGTTAACGTAAGTTGTACAATTCCGGACAAAAAATCACTTAATAAATTATATGTATAAGTTAATGATGAATGTGCATAAACCTTAATATCCAAAATTGATTCAACTTTTAATATATCTAAAGCTATCAACATATTTTTAAAAATTTCTTTTGAACCATGAACCACATTAAGAAAATTAAAAATACAATCAACAAAGCCATTTAAATTACTTTTCATCATTTCATTGTTGCATGTTTGTACTACTGCGGACATATATGTATTATAATTTTTAAATACTTCAGTATATTGACACTTTATCATTTGTGTAAAGTATTTTTTTTTTAGACTAAAATTAAAATCATTTACAGGGTCTCTAATAATTCGATTAGTAGTGATTATTTCATCATCAATTATTATTCTGTTATGTTTTAGTTGCTCCCAATTCCCTTCGCGGAACAAAGTATTTAGTACTTCAATTGCTCTATGTTGAGGAAATTTATTGTTCTGAGGAGGTTTGAGCCTTAAATAAAAAATATTTGTGTAAATCAGTTTATTTAAATACACTTTTTTCAGTGAGAAAAAAATTTAGTAAAAATAACACTTACTCAGCTGCAATAGGTTGAAGTAATTCATAGAATCCAATTTTGAAGTAATAATCATGAATTATTTGTAAATAGTAATTGTTTAACTTTTCATTAATTAAATCGACAAACTGAATATTATAATCTTTAGTAATGCTATCATCTAAGTATTTTTCTCTTAAATTCAATTCCCTTGCATTGTTTATAATATTAATATTGTTTTTAAAAAATTCACGTGTTATGGCAATTACATTATTGACGAAATTATTTATTTCTTCGTAATCTTCTTTAGCTTTTTCAATTTTAAAACTTTCGTCATTATCTACATAATTTATCATTTCTGATGTTTTCATTCTATAAGTATAATGTTTAACAGTATAAATGTTATCTATTACCGTTTTTGGGTGATTTAATGAACTATTCAGTAACTTCATATCTAAGTAATCAATAAATGTTATCGCTTTGTATAAATATTCAAACATTTTATTTGACTTTTTAACTGCATTTAAAAGTACTACTATGCAGTAAATTGCATTTTGAAATGAATTTTTTTCAAAAAAATGTTCACAATTATTTATAATAATTATTAAGTGTTCAGTAAATTTTTGTAGAACTTCAGCAAATAAAAAGTTAATTAATTCAACTATTATATAATATATTTTTATTGAATAATTAATACCATGAAATTTATTTTTTAGAATTTCTTGTAGGCTCATAATTTTATCATTTTCAATCCTTATTGATATGTGATTCAAAGTTGATTGTTTTATTTGAATTCGTAAGTGTTTGGTTACTTGTTTAAAATATGTTATATATTCTTTTCTTAGACCTACATCATGTATTTTACAATCAACAAGTCCAACTTCAAAAGATATACTTTTAATAAAAAACATTAATATGAAAAATTCAATTTTCATTGTCAAAATTTGTTTGAAATCAAAAAAATTTCATTTAACAGAAAAGTTAAAATTGATAATAGTCAATTATATATTTTCTATGTATTGATCATATTTATAGTAAAATATATATATGACTGTGGTGTGTGTACTTTTCTATTTAATAATTTTAAAAATACTTGTAAAACTATTGATTTAATAATGAAGTTTAAAATAAAAATTATATAGAGATCAATACTTAATTTATTCATTATAAGGTTTTTAGAGTATTAAAATAAATCTAGTATTCACTATTGTAATTTTAATATAGTCCCAATAAGTGTTATAGAATTTTGTAGCTAATATCAAGTACAAACATAATGTTTTAGAGTTAATTTTTAATTTCATCTTATGCATTCTCATAATGAAAAATAGGAACTCCCTTCCATGGTGAAATAATTATATTGGATAATTCATTAGCATGAACCGTTTATATCTTTAAGATATAAATAATATTAATAATTTTAGGTTCCAATTGAAGCTGAGAAGATAATGATTTTACTAGGATGTGTTTGTATATATATACAATTTTTAAAATATCCCTCGTTTGCGTAAAAGGCAAACGTAAATTTTGGGATAAAATTCTAAAATTGTGATTTTCAAAATAAGTAAAATTTTAAAAATTCTTGTTTTCATAAAACATATGAATGAAAAAATATTTTCAAAGAATAATATTTGGTTTAATCTATAATAATTTTAGCTTCGAGGCGAAGCTGAGAAGGTATTGGTTTTACTATGATGTGTTTTTTTTTTTTTGTGTCTGTTACCACTTTTTCTCAGCTCTCACCGAACGGATTTCTTCCAACGATACGTCAAAAGATCACAAATTGTATCATAAATTACCCTCAAAAATTGAAAAAATTTCCCTCGTTTCCCGTAAATGTGGGAAACCTCCAAAAAAATTATAAATTTAAAAATCGCTAGTTTTCGACATTTTTTCAATTTTTTTTACTATAAACTGTTATAACTTTTTAAAAAATGAACATATCAATATAATTTTTTTTTATCTGGGCCTTTACCTGCCCACAGGGGAGGATTTAAAATGACAACTTTTTTACAAAAAATTAACTTTTGAAAATTTTTCGGAAGGTCTGACACTTTTATATACATCTTAAATTAAAGATAATGTAATATACTTTATTTAAAAAAAAAAAAAATTTGACCTCTGGACTTGTCTTCATGGTGAAAATGGCTACCAAATGCTATTTTCATGTGAAAAATCTCGATTTTATTTTTTACATTTTTAACTTTAAAATGCTATAACTTATTGAAAAGTGTATGGATCAACACAATTTTTTTATGAGAAATAATATTTTTTTATAAACTGTTTTTCATTCAGGATATTAATAAGAAAATAGCAGATCATGTAGATTTTGGAATAATCTACAATTTTTTTAAAATTAAACACTATTTAAAGATTTGTATCGAAGCTTTTTTTTGATATTGATTTTAATCACTGTCAGATATCATTTTACATGATACAACTATGCTACGTCACCACTGTGCCGCGACCTCCCTGTGCTGGGTTTTTATATTTATTGGTGAAATAAAAATAATAATATTCATTCTTATTTTAAGTAAGTATTGACAGACAAATAATAAAATATGCTGTTTTATTTATACATTTGTATTAATATAAAAATAAAGTTAAAATCGACTAGGTGATATCGTGGTTGTATAGTCCGAGAGTTTAGAACAGTAAAGACAAGTATGTATAATAAGAAATGAATTAAGTTCCTTTTACAGAGGTATTTAACGTTTAGGTATTCTTGTAGTGGGCATCCTATCTGATACCTAGTCAAAGCGTGAGATTAACTGGTATGTGTTTTAGTGGGAATACTGAGGCGTTCATGGAGTTGCGGACGCCTTCTCTCTGACATCCTGTCGAAGTATATGACCAAGTACTAACTAGTTATTAATATTTAAATTAAATGGTTTTTAAATAAATCTAGTGCTTTACCATTCTTTACTGAAATTATTAATTCTTAATAATTGAGTTAATATGAAATTACTTACCTTTTTGGATACTTTGTATAAAGGTCGTCGAGATTTGCCTTAAAATTTGTAACGTTAATTTAATATAAATAAGTAAATTCTGAACTCATAAATAATTATATTCAATATAGTCTTAAAATATACCGACAACAACACGGGGTCGCGGCTAGTTTGAGAAGATGTAATATTATGTTATCAATTAAAATATTAAACAACGGCGTAAGAAGGGTAAAAAAGGGGATTCTAGAACCCCCCGCCACACCCCCTCACCAACCCTTTAGCGATTTAACGTAACTATTCGTTTACCCGTCACATACTTATAACGATAGATTTCCTACAACGGATTTATACGTTGATGGATAATATTTTGTCCCTAATTCTCGACCCGGTATCAAGACAAAGGATTATTTTACTCAAGGATGAATACGTCACACTCTCAAAGACTACGTTTCAAGGAGAGTCTTCGCTAGTCTTTGAACCACAAGCACAAGATAAATGCCGAATGTTACTCACCCGATCAGACATTTTCAAACTCAGCGCTTTGGAATGTTGTATCTTCGAGACTATCAATCAAAAAATGACTGTAATTCAACCATTGGTTCTACAACAGTTGGACCAGATGGCTTAATATATGAAATCACAGTATGAAGTAAATGTGGAAAACAAATGTATGTTGATCAATACGGTTTCGGATTATACGATTAGAAAAAGTTTACTCAATATCGATCTGAGCTACATAAGCCAAATAAAACGATTTGCAAGCCAGCAGTTGGAACAACGGTGGACGATGCTGGAAGAATATACTAAAGTAATAGTGAATTACATTTTTTTTTTCTTATTGTTTAGAACGTATTTAATGAATATATATCATTTTTTCAGTCTTCTAACGGAGAAAACGTATGCTCGACATTTTTTGGGTCGCTGGCCGATGATATACAGTCGGAAACAATCACACCATCAAATACAAACAACCAAGAAATACCAACAGTAGTTGTTAGTAATAGCTATCCGTCGTAAAACGACAAGTGTCTAAAACATGTATATAATTTATATAAAAAAAATTGTTTAAAATAAACGTATTTTGAATTGACAAAATAGTGCTGTTATTATTATATACTGAGACAGAGTGAAAAACCTAGCTGTATAATATCATATGCATGTAAAATACCGTAGGGTATTCTTAGAGTTTTGATGGATAATACCTTACCATCAAAATGTGACATCTCATTATGTAACTATAGTTTAAATACTATGGCATCTTACAAATACAACTATTGTACTGTGCAGAAGAGAAAAAAACGTTGTAGTATATAAATATATATATTTACAGATGTGTACACGTATATGCATATATTTTTTTAGAAAAAATACAATTTCTTACTACATTATGTTACATTAAAAAACAATGTTTCAAAACTACTTATATACATGTATATTTACAAAAAATATTTTCAATTCTTGACGATATTTTTCTTACAAAGATAATAACTTAAAAACTATAGGTCTTCCGGTGGTAATATAGCATAATGCCCGAGGGCCAACGTGTCGACAACAGAATCGAACGCTTTAAGAATGGCTGGTTATTCTTAAAGCATACAAATATCGACTTAACACATTACCAACACGTTAAAGCAACGTCTGTTTATATAGAAAATCTTGTAACGATTTTAGCGCCATGCATACACCACGGTGAAGTTATTAACTAATTTAAACCCAATAGCAATTAATAGTCTAATTGTTACCGGTAGATATGTTACAAACAGTTGTAATCACAAGCAGACATGGTTAAAACAGGATGAACAGGGATTTGAATGCGTTCAGACAGGTTTTAACATGTTCAGACTTGTTGAATCGAGATTATACGATTCCAGGATACGCTGTTCGGTAAACCGACAAAGCATCCCTACTACTTTTATAAACAGCCTACTACATACTATACATAGTACAACCTGCTATAATTATTATAGCGTATACTAAACTTGCTGTATATATTTAATGTGTAAAACTCTTCTTTGTACTGCTTAGTACTACAGACTTATATTTAATATTCATTATGCACAAATACATATAGTGTACATTAATACGACAAAATTGTATAAAATAAAAATATTATATTTTATTGAATTTTAAATCTTAAAAGTTTATGATAATAAGTTTTTTTTTATTTTATATAAATTAATTTAAAAAACAAGGAAAAATATTAACAAATTACTGAAAATCAAACAAATATACATTTCCACTTTTGCCTATATATAATAAATCTAATTTGTTATCATCATTGTAGATATTGTAAGCTTCGATTTCTTCATTAGTTATTTTCAATCTCGGGATAAACACATTCATATTGTCGAATAGACAACCAACAATGACAACCCCATTTCGTGTGCTTGTATTTTTCATAGATATGACTTTGTATGGTGTATGTTCCTCCAGATCACTTAATTTTGAATATCTTTTTAATTTACTCTGATCGTTCAACTTTTTCTTTAATTGTTCCATTCTAAAATAAAAATTTAATAAAGTTTTTAACAACTCTAAACATAACTAGTAACCAAAGTCAGTAGAAAACAGTTTAAATGAAAAATATATATAAATGTATTACTTAATTTATTTTATATCAAAAGACAACAAGTCATAGAAATTTTTCAGGACAACAAATAGAAATAATCAGACAAATGGTATTTGGTATAATCGCTTTAGAAATTATAATGAGTGAATGAGTCTGAAATTGATGTGACGTTCTTTTATAGGGGTCAAAGATCTTGTTTAGACAAGTTTGGGTTGGTTTAAACAGGTTCAGATACTACACAAACGATGTCGAAAATATGCTTACCTAAGCGTCTGGCATCCGATGATAAGATTCATACGACAATAACCATTACTGTACGGTGACCACTTTGATGTTTGAAATATGCTGACCTAAGCTTCTGGTAAACGATGATAGCAATAGTTCTCATAAAACGCGTAGGAGTGAAAAAAGACAACGTTGCCAATTTTCTCATAAAATGCATACGACAGTGACCATTAATATATGGTAA